CTGAAGACCCAGATATTCTGTGCAGTGTCTGGGGAATAAACTGCTCCTTGTCCAGTTTATTTTGAACCCCAGGTCGGTCAGATGGTTCAACACCACCAGCCCGTCACTGGTTGCTTGCTCCCGGGAGGGAGCTCAAATCCGATAATGGTCTATGTAAGAGAAAATTCTGATCCCGCGAGTCCTCGGTGAGGACAGCTCCGCCTCCACACACTTGGTGAACACCCTCTGTGCCCAAACGAGATGGTTTGGAACTCATAGGCTGTGCCCAGATAGACAAACCTGAGAAATTTCCTGTGTGGAGGATAAATAGAGATGTGAAAACAGGCATCCGCGAGATCGATCGTGACAAACCAATCACGGAACGGCAGTGTTTTGTGAGTCAACATTCTGAAAGTGTACTCGCGTAAGTGTTTAACACACGCAGGTCGAGTATGGGACAGAGAGATTTCCGTCCTTCTTTGGAATGAGAAAGTAGCGTGAATAAAAACCCTGGTGTGCCTCGTCACTCGGCACCATCCTGATTGCTTTTTTGTTCAACAGTGAAGCAATTTCGTCTTCCAGGATATGCACTGAGTCCTCTTTTGCCACTGATGTTATTATCCCGATGAAACATTTGAGGCAAACTGAAGCCTGTAACCCCGATAAATTGTCATCTGAACCCAAGATGGAGCCGCGCATGCGCGCCACCTCTCGGCCCGAGCCGAAAGCGAGCCACTGTTGGGTGACGTCCTCTCCGTCACCCGAGTAGCCTCGACTCGTCCCGTGGGAAGAGCGAGAGGGCCCTCTGCTGGGTGCAGAGGGACCTGATGGGGTTTGTTCATTATTTTTTTGTGGGGAGCTGTCTGCCCTTGGCTGAATGCCTGGCTGCAGAAAAGCTGTCTTTATTTTTAAATGATAGCCATGAACATTTTTGCACACATTTGGGAACAAAGTGCTTGGTGACACTGACTGTGTGCTCATTTGAAAACTGAAGTGTTTGGTGACACTGGGTTTTCTGCTCCACACAATCGTCTCTCTGAACTGAAGACAAAGTAGCTAACAAAACTCCTGCTGGACTGGGAACCACAGGAGTGTCTGAACCCTGAACACAGGTCAGTTTTTTCCTCTGAAAACCTCCTCTTCTTTTGGAGAGGAGAAGCAAGAGCAGCTAGGATGTCTTCTTCCTCTTGCCCTCGCTGGGGTGAGAAGAGCAGTTCCTGGCAGCTGCTGCTGCAAAAGAGTGCTTCCCCCATGGGCGAGGGTTCTCCGCCTTGTTTGGCTGACCACCTGCTGATCGCTGTGGTCTAGCCCCACCCTGTCGACCTTTTGCCGCTGAGGCAGCTGCTGCAAACCCAAGCTTGGGTACCTGAAGTGGCTGAGGGTTATGTTTACGAGGCAAGCAGAGATTGAAGGCCTCACCTTCCTGCTGTCTGTGGGTACTTGTCTCAGTCATCTTCTCCAAGGCAGGGCCAAAGAGACCTTTGGTAGGGTCATATGCTGCATCCATGACATCAGCTTTCTGGGCATCACCTAGGCCTGACAGGTTTAGCCACAAGGCTCTCTCACCCGAAACCGCCACCCATCACATGTCCACAGCCCTGGAATGCTCCTCTAGAAGAGTTCAGGATGAGATCATTCACCACACAAATTTCATCCCATAAAGCAGGGTTAGGTGTCCCCAGAGTCCAACTGACGATCCATTTCCTCCAGGATTTCTCCTTGATAAGCTGATGAGAGTAACTGCATTGAGGGAACACACAGATTGGCGAGCATATTTGTACATCCTCTGAAAAATGGATGCAGTGAGACGATCCATTTTAGATGGGAGAGAGATGCTGACACGGATCTGTGGTTGGGGTGAAGGTGGAATGCCACTGAAGGCTCCACCGTTGGGGGCTCGGCCAGTCCCAATTCCCCATCCCATGCACCTCCAGTTTAGAGCATCCCTTGGTGGGGAGTTTGCTCTTAAATGGGCTAGACCAGTAACGGCTCATTTCTCTCATGCATGCTGGGACAGCCGGCAAGAGCTGCTTGGGTGGAGAGGAGGATAGTGGGAGCCTCTTACCATCATACAGGTCTCGTTCCACCACTTCTGCCACTGAATGTTGAGCTTTGCCGCTGCTGGTCTGCAAACCTCATACAGGCCGGTGTCCCCCTGTGATGCCACCCCAGTGCCGCTAGACAGCTTAAGCCGGGCGTACACTGTGCGACTTTTTCACTTTTTTGAGCCGATTTTCCAGTCGTGCGAGAAGCCACGACATCGGGGCGAGTTTTGCGCCGAGCGGTCGTGTAGTGTACAGGGGGTTACGAGAGGCGATTAACACCACGTGACCAGCCGCCGATCAGCAGTCATGAGGTCGCAGGGACTTCTGGTGTGTTTAATATTTCGCTCGTCCCTCGTGAGGGTATCGCACTGTTGAAGCGGCGCTAAGAGCAGCTGCGAGCAGCTACGATCCAAAAAGTATCAGAACCGCTCACGGCGCATGCGCGCGCGATCCTGCATCAACGCCGGCCGGTCGCTCGCTATTTCCCTAATAACACACGCTGTGCGTTTTTGTTTCTACACGTTTTTTTTACTCACAAAGATTGTCAAGAAAGTGTGTTTGTCGTGTTCATGTCAAATTAAACTGATCACAAAACACAGATTTACTTTCTTTATTTCGTTTCCTCATCCAACCCCCATAAATCCCTGTGTGTCCTCCTGCAGCACTCCCGAAGGACAACAGGCAAGACAAAAAAGTCTGACGTGTTGAGTAAAAACTGCTATTTTTAGCACATTTTTAGGGCCGACGTGTTGCTACCAGACGTACAGTGTGAGCAGTCAGGTCGCATGCGAGAACTGGGTCGTGCAGTGTGAGCACACGACTCGTGAGATCTGCTCTGCGAGGAAGTCGTACAGTTTGAGCTGAAGCTGAACGCTGCGAGTGAAAAAGTCGCACAGTGTACGCCCGGCTTTAGAGTGTTGAGCTGGGAAGTTGGAATCCTCTTCCTCCTGTTCTATGCCCAAGTCGAGGAGTTCTGAGTTTGCATCGCCTCCAGCCTCGTCATCACCCGCATCGAGCAGCCTATTTCAACCAGACCCTCGAACAGAGATGGTAGCGGGGGCTCCTCTTCCATCATATCCGCCCAGCTTGTGCAGGCTCGTGGCTGATGGTTGTCACCTGCATCTACAGGCATGGCCGAGGCCTGGGTCCTGGCCGTTAGCCACGGCCACTCTAAGCCTCCTTTCCCTTATCTTCTCCGGCATGGAGGAGCAGTGAGGGCATGTCTGCGTGTTAGCCAGCGATGCCTGAGCGTGAGCAGCACCCATGCAGGCTATGCACATAGGATGAGGGTCCCTGCCTGAAATAGAAGCCCCACATGACGCCGGGCACAGGTGGGATGCAGCCTCTTTATTCTTTGGTTCCGATCCGTCTGTTGGGTTAGGTGTGGAAGACATAGCTGAAAATCCGACTCATCATGACACGTTTGCCTGAAAAAGCATTAGCAAGCTAGTTAGCAGGTGTAAGTCTGCAACTAAAGCTGTATTTTATATGTAGTGCAACTCGTCGTGACACGTTAGCTGCACCAAAGTAGCTCATTAGCAAATAAATGCTAAATAAGCAAAGGACAAGCTCGCCTCAATGCGTTAGCTTGAGCTACACTCGCTAATACTACTCCGTCAATGACAACATAGTAGCCATGGGAGCAGTTCGTCATTGGAGCTTCCGTAGTTGGTCACGCCAGGGCGATTCCCATAGTGAAAAACCCAAACGAAGTTATAAAAAGAACTTCTGTTGCTGATCCATAACTGGCAACGGTTGCTCAGAGCAGACTTGGTTGATTTGATACATGGACTTGTGACACATATCAGGTGGAATGGATGGCTTGTGCCACTAATATTAACAGATTCAAATAGATTCTAAAACCAAGGCAAGCAGCGCAACCACAAAAGCAAATTTAAAAAAAAAGGGAATTTATTCTAAAAGCTCAGATGATGCCCAAGATGCTCTCCACAATAAAGTCTGCCGGGCCTCCAGAGGACAAAGCAGTCCAATACGCCCCTGCATGAGCTTGCCAGGGGAACCTCCACGACCCCGCCCTCCTGCGGTACGCGTCGTCCTCGGGGAACCACAGGCTGAACGGCCAGTGGATCCAATCCTCCTCCTCGGCCCCTGTGGCACACAAAAACTCCGGCAATCACAAGTCCCCAAGCACCAGACCACACACAGAGAGACAGCAGCTCCAGATGTAGCCAAGCACTGCTCCAATACTTACGGGCAGGGGCAGAGTAACTCTGCCCGCCTGCCGTGTTGCTCTCCGTGCCCTGGCTTCTCCACTGCGGATCTCGCTCTCCGCTGCTGCTCGCTGTCCGCGCCGCCGGTGAACCCCCTCTTCGGTCCAAGACTCCAACCGGACCCAGCGGCACCCGTACGAGCGCCGCTCATGTGTGGAGGGAGGGACACCCACGCTCCTCCACACTCGGCCGCCGTCCCTCATCCGGGACCGTACTCCGGGTGCTCCTCTGTTCTGGCTGGGGGGGGTCCAGGCACATGTGGTCCTCAGGACGCCGTCCTGGGGTGCGTCTCTGCCCCTTAGCTCGTCCCGTCTGCCATCCTGGCTCTCTCTTTCTCTGTCCTGTGTCCACGCGTTCCTCCCTTTAAATTCTGTCCTGCCTGCATCTGTCCATCAATTGGCAGTCCAGGCAACACTGCTGCAGGTGAAGATGATTGGGTTGATTAACACAGAACACACAATGTTGCACCACAACTAAAAACACACCATCAATAAAAACAAGCACATCAGAATAAGCAAAAAACACAACCAATAAAAATGTGCGCATCAGAATAAAAACAAGTAAAACATGCAATATAAAATAAAACATTAGTGCAATATCACCACTCTGACAGTCTGCTGTACCTACATTTGTGCACTTCATGCACCTTTAAACTTGCATTGTTTTGTTGTGTAGTGGGACCACATTTCACAAAAGACGCAATTAAAGTAAATTGTTTGTTTGTTTTACATTTTTGTCTTTTTAGATGCAGTGACGATGTTTGTTGCACTGTACGATTATGAAGCAAGGACCACTGATGATTTGTCTTTCAGCAAAGGGAATCGCTTTCAGATTATCAAAAATGAGTGAGTAAATGGGCTTTTACACGATGATAACCCTGTGTGTGTGTGTGTGTGTGTGTGTGTGTGTGTGTGTGTGTGTGTGTGTGTGTGTGTGTGTGTGTGTGTGTGTGTGTGTGTGTGTGTGTGTGTGTGTGTGTGTGTGTGTGTGTAATCCCTCATTATATTCAGGTCGGACATTAATGCTGGATTTTGGCAGGATTAATGGCTTCCTTTAATGGACCATCACTCAGATCATCTCCATGTTTAGAGGAAATAATCTGATTTTAATTTACTTTTTTTTAACCTAAACAAATGCTCTTTGAATTTAGTATTCCTAAAAATATGCTTCATTTATGTTTTAATAATGAAGCAAATAAAGGGATAAATCAAATAAATCATAGGGCCTAAATGTAGCAGTACCCATAACCTTACTGTAATTAGAAAGCATAAATAATCTGGGCTAAACAAATGTGCTTGTTAATTCTTTGTAGTGCCCGACCGATATATCGACCGGCCGATATTATCAGCCGATATTGGGGTCATTAACAATATCGGCTATCTGCCAAAAAGACGAGTAACCCCTGGCTGCATCCCGGAGATCGGGGCGGGGCTAAATGTGGGCGGGGTTAAACGTTTAGAGGTGGGTGGAGACAACTATTTGACTCCTGCCCCTCTCTCAATGGAACCAGTAAACTGCGAGTAGCCCCTTTCTAAGGATTAGAAAGCCCTAAAAACCCACAAAACCCATGTAAAGCATAACATTGGTAAACAAATGACTTGTTTGCTGGATGTCATGATAATTTTAAAGAGCAGACAATTACAGGCGCCATTTTTGATCCAATCTGTTCTGATATTTTTATTATTTTTTCTACCTTTGTATGGTATGTGTATTTATAGCACATAGGTATTTGTGTCTTTTAGCTATACTTTTGGTACCTATATAAAAGGTTCAGGCATTTGATAGACTATTCTTTAAACCTGTCAAAACCATTTTAATAGTTGATTTTATCAATGCTGCCTTTATTTTAATAGTCATTTCCCAAGTGAGTGTAAAACAGTATAGACAGACACGGGTAAATTTGTTGTACACTCAGTTATATCAGCTACATTAAGAGGACCAGAGACTTAAATTGTGCTGATACTTCTTAAAACATGCCAGGGTTTGAGGCGGGGTGGTGAGACATTGTGTGAGACACACAAGAATGCAGACTAAATTTTTCAAAAAAGGTACATTTAATAGAGCAAACAGCCAACACAAGAATAAAAAAAGTACAAATGAACCAAAAAGCACACAAAACCTCCAAAAAAACAATGTGAGGAGGAAAAAGAATGCAAAAACTGACACTGCTGTATTATGGCATTTCAAAACCAGAAAACACCTTCATCTTCCTTTTTTCCTCAATTTCTCAGCAGAACTCCTCATAGTCGGACTGAAAACTAAACATGAACAGGAACGGTTCCCTGCAATCGTTCATCTCCTCTTCATCCAGGCCATAACAGAAGCATAACCTCTCCACTGCCCTCCGGCAAGCTTCCCTGTCCATGGTGATGACCTGGGGAAGGGAAAGGCTTCCTTTGAAGGACCTTGTGGTACACCACCTTGCTGCCTCAAAGGTGTCCTCAAGCAGAGAATTCTTCTAATCAAAAATAAAGACAATATTAAAATTACTGCTGTCAAGAGATTAAAAACATATTTTACATTAATTATGTATGATCTGAAAGTAATCCAATCTTTTAATTTAATCTAATAACTGTACATAATATAAGCCTTATTTTCAATGCTAACAGCTAGCCAAACAGCTGATGCTGTGGTCTTTCCAAACTGCAGCACGGAAGTGCATCTGATACAGGAGAGAAGCTGTCAGCAGCCTTGATGCTCAGTGACACACCCATTACATCCAAATGGTAACAATAACTTTGGAAAAAGTTGCAAGAAGGGTGAAAAAAACAGAGTAAAGATAACAAGGTCGCTGAAATAAACACTGCTGCAGCTAATCTCTCACCGGTCTTGTCACTGTAACGTCAACCATTCAACTTATGAGTTTACATCAACCCTTCAAGAACACCAGCAAGAAGCGTAAAAGAAAAGAAATTGGTTTATTTAAAAGTCCCATAAAGAAGCAGTAGATTAAAAATGATTAACATAATTAAAATATAAAACACGTTAATCATGGCTGTAAAAAATTGCAAGTAATGGAATTATTTGACACCTCTAATTAAAATAGAGGTTGGAGAAGAAACAATGACACAAGAAAAGCCGACAATATAAAACGTACTCTGTTCCCTGTGTCCAGTTCCAGCAAGTTCTCAGCCTCTGCTAGAAAGGAAAAAGTCTGTGGTTCATAAAAAGCATATTAACAGTGCAAGTTGTAAAAAAAGATCAGTTGCTTAGTACTCTGGTTTAATGAAAATAGAGAAATGACTGAAAAACTTGCTTTGAAAAAAAAGTGCTCTGTCTGCAACAGTCTTAATTTTCTAATCTTGGCAAAGTAAGAATTTCACTGTGCACAAAGTGTGTTTTTCTAGCTGTGCATATGACAAAAGGTTGAATCTTGAATCTTCCCACATCCCATTTTGACAACCTAGGGGGTTGTGTACAACAATACTTGTTTGATCAATACCTGATGCTGCACAGACTATTTCAGTATGGCAGGACTTCTTAGGAGGGACCACTTCCAGGCCCTGAAATAAGTGAAGGAATTATGCTTTAGTCTGCAAGCAACAGTTAAACTACAAGAATTAATCAAATTGTCTCTCACCTGTTTTACTCTTTCCTCTCTCCGTCTTTTTCGTGCCTGCACTCTGTCTTCCTCAGACCTTGGTGATACAATGACAACGTTCATTCACTATGAAAACATTAATGTTATTCTGTTGACTCTTGACTGAGCAAGACATTTTTTTTTTATATCTGATAAAAAAAGTGTGATCATGGAGGGCACTTACGGCATGGGGAAGTGTTGCAGCAGAACAAGACACCACCATCTCCTAATTTGCCGCATGTTTTCCTTTGAAAAAGAAATTCACAAGAAACAATGTATTACATAACATATGAAGTACATTTTTCATTTTACCAACAACATTTCATGTCATGAATACTTACATGTACTATCGCAACAAGACCAACATCAATGTTCTACACATTACTCAGATGTGCTTTCAGAATCTCTAATCCAGTGGTTTTCATCCCTGGTCCTCAAGGCACACTGCATTTTTCAGGTTTTCCCTCCTTCAGCACAGCTGATTTGAATTGATGGCTGATGAACAAGCTTTTGCTTCACTGCAATCATCTCAATACGGTCTGCTATATCACAGAAACTCCAAAAACATGCAGGGCAGTGTGCCTTGAGGACCAGGGTTGAAAAACACTCCTCTAATTATTATGTTATGAATGGTACCTTTTTAAGTCTGCTTAAGTCACATCATTTACTAATTAGTTGCTAGTTAGGAAAAATGGCTTTACACCATTCTTTCCTTATTCTATATTTAGCATGTAACAACGATTAAAAAACAAAACTAACATATTTTCCCTATGTAATATATAGTATTTCTCCCTCAACAGTAGATCGTGCCATATATTAATATTGTTCTAAAACTTGATAAAGGAGCTTTAAGTCAAGGTTTATATAATTACACATATCAGATTAGCACTCTAACCATAATAATGAAGCCCATCAGGTGTAGAACCCAGATACGAACATAAAAAGCTTAAAAAACTAACATATTTCCCCCTGTAAAAAATATTTTCCACCTAAAAGTAATCATGACCACACAACATATCTCCCCAAAGCTATAAAAGTGTTCCTACAGGTTTCTTCAACTTAAATTTAAGTCTGTTTAAGATCTTTCTAAAGCCATATAGAAAATTAATACCTATTTCACGGCACTATCAGCAAAAAAGTAAATAAATAAAATAAAATTATTGAACTAGTTTTCATTTATTTATCTATATATCTTTACCAATATATTTTGAGAAAACACTGGGTGTGCACTTGGTAGAAGATCGGTTATATTTTTAAACAAATGGTTAAAAATATAACCGGACCTCTGGTTTGACATTAGAACCGTAACAATAATTTTTGTTGCCTATATTTTAGTTTAATTTTAAGACGTTTTTTTATTATTGTTAATTGTATTACCCTAATTCCTTGCAGTATTTCTATTGTATAAAAGCAACAGTTCAAACAGTAAAGACACAAAATTGAAATAAATGTCTAAAAATAGCCTTTATTAATACTAATGCTTCTCTTGGTGTCATCACTTGTTTGGAATATTTTGATGAACTTCAGCTTACCTCCATTTTGGCAACTACTTCCCTCTGTCCCGGCTACAGCACTGCACACACACATAGCACAGCGGTTTCCTGGTTCCATTGAGAGAGGGGCAGGAGTCAAATAGTTGTCTCCGCCCACCTCTAAACGTTTGACCCCGCCCACATTTAGCCCCGCCCCGATCTCCGGGATGCAGTCAGGGGTAGTTGAAAAAGACGGCCGATATGGCCAATATTGCGCTACCTATCCAGCAGATGGCGCCAGCTTTATGAACTCATGTTGTGTGGCTCGACTCCTTTGAACTTTGAACACAAATTATTGTTTTGGAAATATTTTAAAATGTATTCATATTTATGTTTCTTATGTGCAATTATTTCCTGTCCAGGGTGAATAAGTTCACCAAGTTAACTTCCACAGAGTGTTACTTTGTTACAAAGCACAATTATTACGTTTTATTTATTGCTGCATTTTTATTATTTTAATATTCTTATAGGGATCTTCTGTCCCTAAACTTGTGTGTGTTATTAGGTCCCCAGAGTTAGCTAAGTCAGAAAAAACATTTTGTAAACAGTTGTTTTAGCTTAAAGCAGCAGTCCCCAAACTTACTTAGCCGCGCACCCCCTTCTATGTCCCGACCATGTCGACGCACCCCCCCAGCCCCACATCAGGGCATGGCTATATATATATATATATATATCAGATGTCAAGCTAAACGGTCACTCGACAGACGGGGTTAAAAAAAATATGATCGACCTTTTTCCCCATTACTTTCATTTTCATGTTTATGTATTATGTATTTTTGAAATGGTAATTAATAAACATTCAATACCATTACAATTTCCTTTGATTTAATTTTAAATAAATATTTAGAGTGCCCAGGTAGCACATAAACAATGCAATTTAACTGTTTTCTTAAAGCAGGAATGTTTAACCAGAGCGCTCTCCTTCCTTCTGCTCTGCGTAAACCTGAACTGGTCACCTACTTGTGCGTAATCAAATGTCTATAGGGGAAAAGATGGAAAAGCTATAGCCATGAGGTTCACTTTTGTCTCAGACCGACTTTTTGCTGTTTTATGGTGTGGCTGAATCTGCGATCCGCTGCCATGCGGACTGGAATAACAAATGCTGTAGTAACATGAGTTGTAGTCAGGCTCGGAGTCACTGGCTGGAGTGGACCCGACTTTAATACGTCATCCCAAAATAGAAGCTAATATCTTAATTTGACCTTGACTGAAAAATGTTGTTATAAAACCTCTTAAAAGTTTTTATTACGGAGGAGGCAGCGCTCATTTCTGCCTCCAGTCTGACAGCACAGCGCAGCGCCGGAGTTTGTGCAGCGTGTGCTTGTTTAAATCGGTGTGTGTGTGTGCGTGTGTGTGTGTGTGTGTGTGTGTGTGCGCGTGTGTGCGCACCAATGTTGTAAAATTCCTTCTGCCCAGCCCAGATGTGCTCACATGTGCACCCGTGAGCCGTGGTTCCGCTGGAACGCGTCTGACCTCTGACAGACGCACTCTGAACTAAAGATCTTCAGCGCGCTGTTAATAGCCTGACACGTTTAGAATGCTGTCCCACAGTCAGTGTGCTAATATAATAATATAATGCTAAAATGCTCAGATGGGAATCATTTCTTGATTTATTTAGTTACATCCACAATGTTCTGTGTGTGAGGTTTACAATGTCAGAACACCTGCATGAGACAGGTGTTAATTACAATCTGCCAGAATGACTCACCACCTTCAGATTTCTCCAACACCGATAAAAATGATCAAATACTGAACATATCTTGCTATTAACAGCGTGCGCAGGCCAGAGTGCTGAAGCTCGGAGCGCATTATTATTATTATGAAGCTAGGGCACATGCGGAGGACACACACGCACATGCAAAATATACTTGTTTTCAATTGCATTTATTGTGCCCACTTACTTTTTCTTAGGCCCGCCCACAAATGAGTTTCTGGCTACGCTAATGGTGACATGTGACAGACTTCTCTGAGCTCCGCAGCCATTACACGTTTCACCTCGCGCACCCCCTAGTGGCACCCCTGGGGGTGCGCGCACTACACTTAGGGAATCCTTGGCTTAAAGCAATGGAAGGGAAGGCTTGCATTCACCTGCATTAAAAAAAAAACACTACAATGTATGTGAATTCACTTACATTGTTTTATGCTAAACTAAGAAAACCAACTGCTGCCAGATCATATTGGGCCCGTCATAAAATGCTTTTTCTGACTTGTCTAACTCTGGGGAATCTTAACAAGACACAATTTTACTGAGTGGTGGAATATTGATTTAAGTTAAAATGTATTTGTGGCAACCACAGTTTACAAGAATGTTAGATTTATGCTGTGACTGAGTTTGTGTGTTCTGTTGTTTTTCTGCTAAATAAATCTTATTTGCATTACTTGGAAACCCTAGTGAGTTATTGAGGCAGTTCTTTGGTGTGTAATAGAGAAATAAATTTGCATCAAAAAGGCAGAGAATGAAGGGTTTAAGCTTAAGAAAATTGTATTTTTATTTTTTGTGTGGGAGATTTATCGGCAATTATATCGGTATCGGCCCCAAAAAAAGCATATCGGTCGGACCCTAATTCTTTGCTTTGTGCTGCTTATAGAGATTTTTGTTTGATTTTATTTTAATTTTTTTGTCCGGCGTGTGCACAGCTGAGACAACTGACAATGCTTCAAGTGCTGCACAAATCCTGCCCTCCTCATTCATCACATGTCCCATCGCATCCCACCGCTGTCTGTACTCACGTGGCTTTTATAGTGATGAAAATGCCATCTGCTTAAACAGCATAGGTGGGAGAAGGACAGATTAAAGTATTTCAAAATGCCACCAGACAACATCCGAGTTCCTTCCGTCTGATTTAAAAAGATGTACATGTAACATCGGGGTTTGGGTGACATAACCTAAATAACGTCTTACATTCGTAGAACATGTGTGATTAACACAAATGAAGGATTTTAGCAGGTAAGTGAAAGATGATACATTTCCTGTTGTTTTAAAGTGATGCATCTAAGCCACACTCTGCCTTGATTAAAATGACTTCTGATGTTGTTGAAGCCAGCTGACGCACAGAATGACCTTGTTTCCTTTAATCACTTCTTGTGAAAGTAGGCGGGTTTATTTATTTTTTTGTTTATGAAAAGCTTTTCGTCTGATATTTCTCTTCAGTGAAGGGGACTGGTGGCAGGCCCTCAACCTGAACACAGGAGACGTGGGCTACATCCCCAGTAATTACGTGGCTCCAGCTGACTCCATACAGGCTGAAGAGTGAGAATTCAAATCATTACTTGTTCAAACTGCAGTTTCTGTCAACTTTTTGACATTTATTCACCCTTGTTGTCTTGCTCCTCACCCTGCCCAGTTTCTTTTTGATGTATTGAGAGTGGGAACAGAGCCCTGTGGTTTTGCAGAGGACCGGTGGCGATGTTTTTCTTCTGGTTTATCAGAAACGTTAAGCAACTGTTATCACGCTTTTGCTCTAATTTCTCTTTACTGATGTTTTGAATCTTCATCCTTACAGGAATAAAAATTAAACACCTAATTAGCATTTGCCTTAAATGACACGTACTTGTTGCCTCGTGAGAAAATTCTTCTCGTTTGCAACATGTAGGAGTTTCTTGAAATAGTGTTTTGCTTGTTTGAAAGAAAAGTTTGATCGTTTACACCTGGGAGCTCTATAAATATTTATAGTGATGAAGATTTTTGAAGTCTTTTATATATCCAGTGGTGCACGTTAAATACTTACTATGCAATTTTTTATATTTTTAAATCATTTTCTTGAGCCAATAGGTGCTAAAATGACCCTTCACAGGGTTAATGAAATGTCACTCAATCACCCTCTGTGGCCAGAAAACTGAATTTGCAATTTCAGAGTGTCGGTCCAGTCTGTTGGACTTAGAAAAAACAGGAGCTGCTTCCAGCATGTTTCTTGCATGTTTTATTTGATGAGCACAGCTGATTTGTTTGATTTATTTATGAACCACTCCTATAGACACTAAAGATGACTGGGGAGACATTTCAGCTGTTAGATTAAGGTGTTAAAGAGACAAATGCACGGTGAGGAGATTTGTTTCACTTTTGGTTTTGAAAAACGGACACTAGGAGGTGCTAAAAGCAAGCCAAAACTGCCAAGTGTGCCTTTAACGACCTCAGTGCCTTGAATGATAAGCCGATAGACTGTTTTAGGTTTAGTTTTATAATATTTGCTTGCCTCTGTTTGACTAAGAACCAACTAATGCTAAATTTCACCTTGATACAGTTGTTACTTTCCCACGTGATAAAACTTTCACATAAATATGAAGTTGTAGTTTGCTTCTGTATGATGCTGAAGATTTCATCTTTATTCTGTTGTTTTCTGGCAGATGGTACTTTGGTAAATTGGGTCGTAAAGACACAGAACGTCTCTTGTTGTATCAGGAGAACCAAAGGGGCACTTATTTGGTTCGAGAAAGTGAGACGACAAAAGGTAAGGATTTTTTTTTAATGCAAAGTAAAGATGTTCTTGATCAAAAAGAGCAAAGCATGCTTGAGTTTCTTCATTGTTTTAAAGGGTCGTATCATGAAAAATCCACTTTTTGGAGCTTTTTACCGTGTGATATTTTTATTTCCTCAGGAAAATGCAGCCAAATATATTTCTTTTTTTTTTATTATTATTTTTTATTTTTGCATGTTTCAGCTGCACATTTTGAGTTTTACTTTGAAAATCGTATCAAGCATCAATGGAAACTAGTCCCATCATCAGGCCCTGCTGGAAGCTAGTCTCTGGTCTGAAAACCTGTCATCTCTGGCCAGCACAGGATATGTGGCTTAGGCGACTGATGTCATAGCAAACTTGGTAGTCCAGAGGTTGGAGTGCTGGGCTGGATGCCCTAACCACTGGACTACCATAGCCAATACATCAACCGACTGCCTAAGATGCTGTTGTAGGCACATTTTGTCGGAGCGAGCGTGGGCGGAGTTTCACTAAAACAAATTGTATTTTTTCCAGGTATAAATTCAGGCTGATGAAAATAACTCGTATGTAAGATAAATGACATCTCAACAGTGCCATTAATGTTTTTATTTATGTTTTCATATTTTAATTGTTTGCTTATAGCACGTCGCTATTAAACAGCTCAGATTACTGAGAAACACAACTGATTGAATTCCTGTTGGATCTCTAAGGTGCTTACTCTTTGTCTGTACGTGACTGGGATGATGCGAGGGGAGAGAACGTCAAACATTACAAGATCCGCAAACTGGATAACGGTGGTTTCTACATCACCACGCGGGCCCAGTTTGACACACTACAGAAACTGGTGAAACACTACAAAGGTATGCAGCCCGCTCATAACAGATAACATGCAGGTTGTGTTTTTGTTTGAATGAAACTTCCAGCTCAGAGGAAATCCTCACTTTCTAGGAAGCGAGGGGTTGTTCAGATGTTTTTCATCAAACCTTTTCTCCCATTGAAATCGGTTTTTCAATAATCTTGTTCTGCACGGAAAAAAAATGTCACCGTTCTCATAAATTCTTTAGAAAATATGATTTTAAAGTAAATTGTGTGAAAATATTGGATTAGCACCCACATATTCGTCTCTGGATGTGTGGAGAAAGAAGATGAGCGTTTTTCATTTTTCTCTTGGTAGAGCATTCAGACGGTCTGTGCTGCAGGCTGACGACTGTGTGTCCAATACTAAAGCCTCAAACTCAGGGACTATCGAAAGATGCCTGGGAAATCCCACGAGAAAGCCTCAAACTGGAAGTCAAACTGGGACAGGGCTGCTTCGGGGAAGTCTGGATGGGTAAGAAGCTGATTGCGATTTACTCGGATACTACACTGGCCCACATACCGATGTAAACACTGATTGGTGTTAGTTCTCGCTCTCGCACGCAGAGTTCAGTCATCACAGGTCACTTCCTACGCTTCATTTCTCCTGCCTACTTGTGAGATGGCGGCCTTTGAGCAAACAGCTCATCTTTTATCCCTTTGTCTTTGCACGCCTCTGTTTTGAGATCGCTCTCTGCCTCTCCTGCTGCAGCTAGTGCTGCTAGTTAACAATAGTTTCCTCCTCTGCTAAATTATTATTTTATTTTTTACCTCATATCTTCTCTGCTCGCATGTTTTTCTCACCTTAATTTGCCATGCTCGTTGTGGGATACTTTTGTCCCAGCCAGGAAGTGGCTGATTATTGAAGCTGTCACTTTCTTTTTCACCTGATCTTCATGGAAACACTGTAAGAGATCAGCAACATGTCATCAGATTTTCACCTTGTAGCCTTTTGAAGGTCATTAAAAAGTCCTAAATTAGCTCTTGATGAGCATGTTTTGATGTGCTAGTATAACAGTTCTCAACTTTTAGAAATAAAGTGGAAAATATAATTCTCCAGCACTAAAATCAACATTAATTTAGCTTTTTCTGTGTTTTTGTTCAGGCACATGGAACGGTACTACTGAAGTGGCGATCAAGCTACTAAAACCAGGGACCATGTCTCCACAGGCTTTCCTGGAGGAGGCCCAGGTCATGAAGAAACTGAGACATGACAAACTTGTGCCTCTTTACGCCGTGGTGTCCGAGGAGCCAATATACATCATTACTGAGTTTATGACGCATGGTAAGGACAGTTAAAAGTCCCAAATTGGCAGTGATGTGGACATGTTTGGGTTAGTAGATGAATCATTTCAACCCTAGAGCACAATGTGGATCATTGGCTTGCTGAAATAAGCAACACCTTCCTTCAAATAAGCGTAGTTTTACCTTGTGCGCAAATGTCCCCTCGTACAACCACAGATGTGCGAGGGGACACATGCCTCAGACTGATGGACTTTTTTGATGTTTGCTACTACAAATCCCAGGATCTTTGATTTACTTCATTATCACATTTAGTTGCCACTGTTTTCATGCAGCAGCTGAGTTGAAGTTTGCACAGCATTTAAATAACATTCAGTCCACTCAACCACCTGGATCATATGGCTAATGGAAACAAAAACAACATAGGGTTGTTTTGATGCTAAGAAGCAGTGACGCTTTAAAGACCAGGTTCACTGAGAAACAGCTTGTTTTTACTTGTTACTGTTGAAAAATGATGAGTTTCACATGTATGTGAAAATAGTCTTCTACCCCTATTTCCTGCATTAGATGATTGAAGATGGAGTTGAAAAAGATTATCAGAAAAGCCATTAAATTCTAAGTCACATTGAAAATTAGCATAAATGGACTCATGCATCTTGTTTAGTGATGGAGAATGCTGTCGGTGGTTTAGTGTCCAGGAGAGAACAGAGCACGTGTTGGCTAGTAGAATTGCTGCAGTCTTCTTCAGAGCTCGCCGCTGTTGGCGGCGTCACTTTTCTGTTTATCCGCGGGCAGCAGAGTAAGACTGTAAAGCTCTGAAGAAGACTGCAGTAGTAATTGAAACGTCTGCAAACAACGATAAAACTGTGTTTAAGAACCAAGTAATGCAGTTAGAAAAGTCACACAAAAGGAACGCACAAAAGATGTTTGCTAGTAGAAGCTAACCGTTAGCATTAGCCACTCCACAACATAGCAGAACTCCTTCAGGCTTGTGTTATTTATGGAGAGAAAACATCAGTTTTGCAGAGCAATCAGTCAGCGGTAGAGTCATGTTGCTGTTAGCCAATCAGAGTCTGTATATCAGGAAGTAAGACTCCCAAATCCTGCCATGTTCTGCTCAACTCAACTGTGATTCTCTTCTATTTCCTGAAGCAAGAGCGCCAGAGTCCCCCCCCCCCCCCCCCCCCCCCCCCCCCAGAGATCAACTCACAATTTATCCTAGAGACCACTGCAGATGTGTTGGGAAATGAGTGAACTTGCTCTTTAACTGAACAAATGAATTCAGTGAATCGTCTCTCGGTTGTTATGTTTTCTTTTGCATTAACCAACTGGTGGTTATTGGTTTTCCTCATCCCTCTTTGTTACACATTTAACTTGCACCTCAATCACACTAAAGCCCGGACCACGCTGTGCTAGAAAAATACCTTATCGTGAACAGAATCATGAGAGAAAATGGTGAACCGGCTCTGCACTCTCTAGAGCAGCTTAATGAATACCCTCATGACCAAAGTCAGCCTCCAGCAGTCTTCAAGCACTGCTTGAAAACCTATGACTTCCATCTGCAATCAACCAATGAAAATACACCCAGGGAGTGGCACAAACAACTAGTAACGGGAGTGCAACACGAGCGTAGAATTGGCAACAGTGGAAGCTACAACACAACACGTGGATCATTCCTTTTGGAGTTTGGTTTGGAGACAAATGGAAGAAGTCTTAGGTGTGTTCTTGCTGTGTCTTTGTAAATCCATGCTTTTGTTCTTTTTTAAACACAGAAACAGTTTTGTTTACCTGCTTGTAGCTACGGTTTCGCCGACAGCTGCCGGCTTCTTCAGGCTGACGCTGATGGTGGCGCGTCACTTCCTTCTCCGTTTATCTGCGGGCAGCAGAGGACGTTGTCGCCCTCTACTGCCCGCTCTCCCCTCTCCGACGATGCAGTCCCAAACGACAAAATATCAGCTGGACAAAAATGTGGAGTCATCTACGAAATCCCATGCAAAATATGCAATAAAACATACATAGGAGAAACCGGACGCCAACTCAATACACGGACAATAGAACACAGAAAGGAGTGCGAGAAAGAGGCAAATCGTAAACACACAAGAGCAGCAAAATAAGAAGCAGAAAGTACAATAAAAAAGTCAGCCGTAACAGAACATTGCTTAAGAGAAAACCATATAATGGACTGGGACAGCACACGGATCATAACCACTGAACAACAAAAATACAAAAGATGGATCAAGGAAGCAATAGAGATAAGGAGACGTGGATGTGGGACCATGAACAGGGATGACGGAGTTTACACGCTGGACCACGCATGGGACTGCATCGTCGGAGAGGGGAGAGCGGGCAGTAGAGGGCGACAACGTCCTCTGCTGCCCGCAGATAAACGGAGAAGGAAGTGACGCGCCACCATCAGCGTCAGCCTGAAGAAGCCGGCAGCTGTCGGCGAAACCGTAGCTACAAACAGGTAAACAAAACTGTTTCTGTGTTTAAAAAAGAACGAAAGCATGGAAATGGAAGAAGTGTTTTAATAGTGGAGCATCTTTCTCTTTTCAGCGTTGTTTTAGTTAGCAGTCTGCTTTCGGTAACGTATGCTTTTTGGTGGGTGTTCTTGTGACGTAACGTCCTATTAGAGGAAGGCGTTGTGAAGTTTGGCTAACTGAATTCATGCTCCGTACAGTTTCCACCTCTCTACAGTGTGACATGAGCAGTCGTGTGACTACAATAAATATAGTGAATACGTTAGAAACAAAAGATAATAATCAAATTTCCTAATTAAAATGGAACCAGATGCAGATTCTTGGAGCCTAAACATGCTTTGGTCAATAGCTAAAAAGTTTGTTGGCCTCTGTTTTACACGACCAAACCGATTGAATCTAAAGGGCTTCTCTAGCAGCTAACATTTGTTTATGCAGGACGTGCAGAGGACTATGACTGACTCATGCTGTTATACAAACATGTGTTTTTGGGAGCTTGGCTCGGTGCAGCACTAGAGCACGGTTTCTGGCTCTACCAGTTTTTGGGAAGGAACAGTGTGACAGAAAAAAAAACAGATCAAAGCTCAGCCTTTGTCAATATCTTATTTTCTTTTCTTATTTAGTTTTAAAGTATACTTTGCAAATCATTAGTGGTGCTCTTAATGCTTTAAAGGCATACTGTGCAACTTTTTCATATTTTTAAATCATTTCCTTGAGCCAGTATGTGCTAAAATTACTCTTTACAGGGTTAATGAAAATTCACTCAGGTCCCTGCCACCTTCTGTGGCCAGAATTTACACTTGTGAACTTAGAAGAAAATTGAGCTGGAGTCTGCTTCAAGCACGTTTCATGCATGTTTTAGATCATGAGCTCACTAATAAAGGCTGTAGAGACATTTCAGCAGTTAGATTAAGGTGTTAAAAAGACGAGTGCACAGCGAGGAGAGAAGTTTCACTTTTGATTCTACTAAGCAGACACTAGGGGGTGCTAAAAGCAAGCCAAAACTGCCAAGTTCACCTTTAAGTTATAGTTCGGGATCAAATCTTACTGTGTTTCCAGTTAAAAGAAGAAGAAAAAAAGAACCTGGTTTTGTGATGAGTGTCATGAAACTTTAAACATGTTGCAGCGAAGAAGCATTTTTTTATGAGTTCTTGTTTCAACACACTCGGCCTTATCCTGTTTGTCTTTAACTCCCAACAGGTAATTTGCTGGATTATATAAAAGAGGGAGAGGGAAAAGTACTGAAGCTACCCCAGTTGTTGGATGCGGCCTCACAGGTAAGATTTCTGAAAAGAAACAGGATTTCTACTAACAAAGGTGCAGCAGCTGCCTTTGTCTCCTACCTGCCCAGCTGTGTTCACTCAAAACGGGGAAGGCTTTTTGTTATTGGAGGTACAACAAATAATGTTCTGTGTGAGCTTGATTACTGCTGGGTTTGTGAAATATGTCACTTTACCTTATTTTTCCTCTTTATACATCTCCTTTGCTCTTAACCACCTGAAGCACTTAAACACATCTCACCAGAGGCCTCTTAAGTTCACAGTTTCAGTCTCCTACTATGATTTGTTCCTACTTACACGCTTGACGCTTCTCTCTGTACTCAGTAGAGTAGAAAGGTGAGAAACCTTTCAGACGGACTGAAATCTGAGATGCTTCAGTGGAAGTTGATACTATTTAGACCCTATTTTCCCCGAGTGTTTTAGCCTCATGCTGTGTTTTCCTCTTTATAGTCTAATCCCACTTTATGGGCTTTGTCTCAGGTCGCAGAAGGCATGGCCTTCATTGAGAGGATGAACTACATCCACAGGGACCTCAGAGCTGCAAACATCCTGGTAGCTAACAACTTGATTTGTAAAATCGCTGACTTTGGCTTGGCTCGACTCATCGAGGACAACGAATACACAGCACGTCAAGGTGTGCCGAATGTTTCAGTATCGGTCATTTCAAAGCCTTTTTCTTGTTTTGAACACTTTTTCTTACAAACTTAGGTGCTAAATTCCCCATTAAGTGGACGGCTCCTGAAGCAGCTTTATACGGACGTTTCACGATCAAATCAGACGTCTGGTCATTTGGGATCGTTCTGACAGAGCTGGTGACGAAGGGCAGAGTACCTTACCCTGGTAATGTGTTGACTGTAGTTTCCTCATCATGTCTGCCCCCTGCTGGCACCAATGCCACTTGGCTAATTCAACCCTGTTTATGAATGCATGACCATCTGGTTCTCGTCGTCTTGGTTTTAGCTCAGTTTAAGTATAGAGCTGCAGATTTTGATCCTATTTCCACTTTAAAAGTTAACTTTTATTTTTTTAAATCTCGTTCAGACCAGCCATCGGTGTGGGAGCATAATTTATTGTTTCTGTGAGACGAGGAAAGATGGTTGACATGATTAGAGCTCTGAAATCAAGATGCAAGGCATAAATCGTTTTAGCACCACTGCATCCGACACACCAGCATGCCACCATATCCGCGTCCCAGCAGCTGCTGTGGACACAGCCTCTGTTCGAGTGTGAGATAATCTGATCCCCAGTCTCCCACAGAAAGATGAAAGGGGGGTTGGAGGGGGTTTGTGACCATGCCACTGACTCTGTGTCATAACCTCTTTTAGCTGGAGTTGAACTCCCATAGGAGCCATCTCTGTACAGTCACAGGGTTCAAAAACTCAGGCTTCCTGTCTTGGAGATGGAGTTGGGACTCAAAGATGAAGCAGGACTAGCTGGAACTATTTGCTGATGTTTTTGAAATCACATGATGTTGGAATTCTAAGATCCCTGAAAGATGCAGCATATTTTACAGTAGAGATGACCACAAGGAAACGTTCCAAACAAAACTAGAAGATTAAGATTCTTGGCTACTGCTGTGGTCAAATGGTTTTAAATGACCTTTTATCTCAGAAAAAAGAAGTTGGAGACATTCCCACATAGTGCCATAGTCGTTTGGCCCCCAGCTGTGCACGATCGTTTGCATGTTCTCTCAGAACTACAGTTGCAAATATCAGGCTTAATGCATTTTAAACAGTTTTGTCAACAACCTCTGCAAGAACGTGCACGCCCATCTTCTCCACAGAACCAGCTTCAAACCGGTTTGTTCAGAAGTGGTTCGTCAAAAAAGAAGTAAAACTAAACTCAAGGATTAGCTGTTAGCATGTTGCTTATAAAACAGAAATGATCAGTAGTAAGGAGTCCTGTGTGTTTTAAAGCTGGACCTGAAATCATAATAAAGTCCGTTTACGTGATAATCGCTCCTTATTGTTATGTTGAGAAAACATAAGTTAGTCACATCTTTTCTGGAACAGGAATGAGACTAGGTGCATTTTAGAAATCACATATTAAACCTCCATCCTGTTGAAGGAAAGTAGTTTGTTCCAGAACGTGATATTAGGTAGAGGCTGACCGATAAATTAATTTTTTTCTTTATCAGACAAAATTCTTTTTAAAAGCTGAAACTAAAACAATATCAGGCACCTGTATGGCCAACTGCTGCCACTACTAAACTGAAGAAAGGACCCAAAGGACCCCACTTTGCTGTTTTAGATGAGTTTGTTTTATATTTGAAGTTCAATAAATATTAAATGATTTACTGACTTACAGTCAGGTCCATAAATATTGGGACATCGACACAGTGCTAACATTTTTGGCTCTATACACCACCACGATGGATATCAAATGAAACGAACAAGAAATGCTTTAACTGCAGACTGTCAGCTTTTATTTGAGGGTATTTACATCCAAATCAGGTGAACGGTGTAGGAATTACCGTAATTTCCGGACTATAGAGCGCACCTCAATATAAGCCACACCAAAAAAAAGGGTTTTCTACACACACGCTGCACTCGAATACAAGCCGCGGCGCAGCAGCCACATGCAGGTCTCCGGCGCACAGCGCATGTACGGCCATGACATAAGATCATTAGACAGAAATACGCTACACAGAGGTTTTTCGTTGTTGTTTTAATTCAACAAACCGAATTTTAAACACGGGTGAGCACTGATAGCATTCATATTTCTGGATGGTTATGAAATAAAAACAGAACTGACACGTTATTACCGGTAATTTGCATGCATGTTTAGAAGAAAAGAACAGCGCTGACACAGCATTAATAAGCCCCGGATGATTAGAAAATAAAGAAACTGCATATAAAACATGCCTGGTTAGTAAATAAAACACACTTGCCTACCAGAAAAAGTCATTCGCTCTCATCTTCCTCTTGCGCACTAAAGCCATTAAAGTCGTCCTCTTCAGTGTCGGAGTTGAACAGCCTTAGAAGAGCTTTGTCACACACCTTTTCTGTGGCAATGTCAGTGTCGCTGTCTGTGTTGCTGTCATCATCCCCAGGAGAAGCTGGCTTGAATGAGTTCTTCCCGCTGCCGTCTCCAGCGCCGAACCATGGATTCATTCATGTCAAGCTTATGTGCGGCAGCAGTTTCCCTCCTTTACGGCCAGATCGATGGCCTTCAACTTAATTGCGGCAACATATGATCTCATACTTGTAGTTACCATGATGAGGGGGTATGGATGTGAAAAAAATTCTTCGTCGTGCCGGCTGCTTGCATGTGCTAAATTAGAAGGAGCACTTTCTTCGATTTCCACTTTTGACTTCCACCTGTTTCACTTTCTGCTAAAGCGCCCCCTGGCAGGTGAAGGAAAATCTTCAGTAAAGCCGCACCTCATTATAAGCTGCATGGTTCAAAGCGTGGGGAAAAAGTAGCGGCTTATAGTCCAGAAAATACGGTACAACAGTTTGCATATGTGCCTCCCACGTGTGGTGGTGTATAGAGCCAAAAATGTTATTGTTGTGTCGATGTCCCAATATTTATGGACCTGACTGTACGTAATTTTTGTTGCACGCAGTGAGTGTTCAGTTGTCCTTCACAATCAATGTGCTGCTAAAATGTGTGTGTGTGTGTGTGTATATATGCACACACTAATATACACACACACAGGCCTTGATAATCAGCCTTAGAAAAACTGGCCTTAAACTAAAGGCTGACCGATATGTTTTTTTAAGTTAACTGTTCTGATTCGTAAGAAAAAAGGTATTGATTAACACACTTACCAGGCTGTTTCATGTTAAATGATCTTTGTTTCTTTAACTGGAAGTGTGTGTGTCGAAGCTTTAGCTTACTTGTCTCATGCTCCAACTTCTTCTTGAAGGGTGACAGTAGCAGAGGAGTTAAAGAGCAAGTCACTCCCAAATCAACTTTTTTTTCCGATAAACTACCGTATTTTCACGACCATAAGGCGCACCAAAAAGTCTTAAATTTTCTCCAAAATGTACGCCGCGCCGTATGGTGCGATGTGCCTATTGTGTTGTTGTGAGACGCGAACGTAGTAGAAGACCAGGGGGCGTGGCGTGAACGTGCAGACGTGAGCGAAGACAGACCTGTGGATCTGCCACATCTTCATCAACATCCTCGCTGTTTGCCTCAGACTCCGGCTGTGAGTCTCCGCCCACTTTCTCTGCTTCCAGTTCAAAAAACAGCCGTATACTATCTGAATTGCCTGGTGGACATTTATCCTTCTCATCATCCTTTATTAAAACCTATTAAAAGCCCACAAAACTGCAGAGACAATATATCTGTCCGGATCGCTCCAAAATATGAAGTTTACCGTCAATATCTGTTTACCTGTTGTTACTCCGTTCGTGCCACTACTTTCCCCGCGAAGCGGCTCCTTTTTGCACACATCTCGTTACTCGTGCAGCCTTCCTCTCTCTCTCAGCTACATGATGATACTTTTTATCAGCTGAATATGTGAGACTTCCACCAACAGCAAAAGGATCTCATGTTTTTGTGGGGTTTTATGTTCACAAGCACATTCCCTCTCACGGATTACTAAACTGCTGTTTTGACAAGTTGTCAGATTGTCTAAAAATAGGTCGTTTTTTTAGTTTAGTATAGTGGGCTCGACGCACGGGAGGCAACATCGCCTCTCCTCCATTCATTTTCAATGAGACATGCGCGCTGCCGCGGATCGCCTCCCGTGTGTCGGGTAATAAAAGCGACGGCGACAAATTTCGCTGATCGCGGTCGTTTGTCGCCTCCCGTGTGTCGAGCCCACAACTCCGCTTTTACGTTGCCTATTAACAAAATTTAAAAACTGGGGTGTAGTTTATAATCTCCTTTTTAAAGCTGAATTGAAACTGAAACTCAGGGAGGCGGAGTCTTGCTGCTACAGCGTCCCAAATCAGACCTGTTCAAAAGACGCGTATACTCGTCCATGGACCCCAGAGAGTTAATAAAACACAATTTAAATCACACTATTTTCTTAAGCCTATTAATAACACACACACATGGTTTTGTTCATGTGGAAAGTTTATGTGGTTAAATCCACCAACTACCGGTAAACACATTCTGAATTTCAACACAGCACATCAGCGCTTGAAGCGGCACTGCGAGCAGCTGCGACCCAAAACGTACCAGAACCGCTCACGGCGCATGCGCAATCATGCATCAACACTGCTCGCCCGCTATTTCCCTAATAACACACGTTGTTCGTTTTAGTTTCTACACGTTTTTTTACTCACAAAGATTGTCAAGAAAGCGTGTTTGTCGTGTTCATGTCAAATTAAACTGATCACAAAACACAGATTTACTTTCTTTATTTCGTTTTCCTCATCCAACCCCCATAAATCCCTGTGTGTCCTCCTGCAGCACTCCCGGTGTACGCCCGGCTTTAGTAGGAGGGAGACCTGCAATTATCGCTTTGTCGCGCATGTCTCATTGAAAATGAATGGAGGAGAGGCGAAGTTGCCTCCCGTGTCGAGCCCATTAGAAGAGCACGAGCCGTCAGCGCACGCAATGAGGAAGTGCACGTGCGCTCTAAACCAGGTCTGAACCAGGACTAGACCAGTAAAGTGAAACATGCTTTTGGCTGTTTATAATTTTCACAATGTCTGGTTTGCACTGATATGTTCCGAGTCCCGAGCCCGCACAGATGTTTTACCGGTACGTTTTACCGTGACCGCGCCCTATAACCCGGTGCGCCTTTTATGTGTTAAATACCAAAAAGACACCGGTAACTGAAGCTACACCCTATAACAGGGTGCGCCCTATGGTCGTGAAAATACGGTATATAAATGCGTGTCTAATCGTGCTGCAGACGTGTCATCAATAGTTAGGCACTTTAGTGCATTTTAGTAAAAATTTTAATTTTCTGTCTAAGTGTTGTGACGTTGTGCTGTTAAAAACTCTGCACTGCATTTGAATTGAAATCTGCCATCGCTATTGGCTAAGAGGTCCCCTAGAACGTTAGCTGGTACAGTATGATGTCGCAATGTCGTTGTGAGCGCGTGCGTGTGTGCGCGTGTGTGTGTGTGTGTGGTGTGTTTGTTAGCGGCTCCGCCCTCTCTGTCTGCTAGGCAACAGCATTTGTTGCATTTTTCAAACAGGAAGTGGGAGTGGAGTAGTACTCTGGTAGGGGGTGACTTGCTTTTTAAGCGCCCGACCCATAACTGGAGGGTTGCAGGTTCGAGTTCAGTCTATTGCAGTCATTGTGTCTATGGGCAAGACACTTAACCCTCCTTGCCTGCTGGTGGTGGTCGGAGAGACCACTGATACCATCTCTCAGCAGCCCCGCTTCTGTCAGCGCGCCTCAGGGCAGCTGTGGCTCCATTGTAGCTCATCACCACCAGGGTGTGAATGGGTGAATGGCTGTGTTATAAAGCATCTTGGGGGGTTGTAGAACCATAGACGGTGCTATATTAAGTACAGGCTATTTCTTCTACAAACGTTTGAGTCCCTCACCTGTGGAGCTCCGGTCTCATCAGTCAGATGATGTGCAGATGACTTTTTCATTTCATTTTTGTCTTCATTACAAATACCTTTTTCCCTACTTCTGTTAGTTTTAACCTCTTTAAATCGATTTTACACCCAATTCTGAGCTACCGTCATCAGGAAACATTTTTCTATGCTTGGTAGCAGAAAAAATATATTTTCAGTAAACATAGCTGAATAAATATTTAGCTAACAACTAAAATCAGTGGGGGTTTTTTTCTCGTTAAGGTATGGTGAACCGAGAGGTACTGGAGCAGGTAGAGCGAGGTTACCGGATGCCCTGCCCCCCGGCGTGCCCCGAGTCTCTCCATGACTTGATGCAACAGTGTTGGAAGAAGGAGCCAGACGAAAGACCGACCTTTGAATACATCCAGTCCTTCCTGGAAGACTACTTTACAGCTACAGAGCCACAATACCAGCCTGGAGACATCATCTAAAAGTAGCCATGATGAACGCTTTACTCATCAAGGTACATCAGTGGAGGTGGAACATTTTAATGAGGCTGTGTAGTTTTTAACTACTTGGCAGTGGTTGAAGATGTTTGTCCTGCGTGCACCTCCAGACCAAGAGAGCAGATGGGTGCTGGTATCTTAAGAGCCTCAACACTGTGATCAGAGAGTGGGACCTCAAATTTAACTTTTGCAGAGTTTTTCTTAAACTTTTCAAACAAACTCCACACCTTCCTGTAATTTCCCACTTTTTATGTTTGGTTTTAGTTCAAACAAATCTTAATATGAATCTCGACCTTTCTTATATGTTTGGCTTGATGTAGGTGGATGAGGATGTGTGTTTATGAGACCGATAACTGTGGTTAAACTTGTCAGGTACGTGCTGTAAAGGCGTGTGTGAACGAATAAAGGTCAGCTGTGTGGATGCAAGAGTGTACTGGGATCTGAGCAGATGTACAGTTTATGAAGAGAGTATTTTTAGCAAGTGTGATCAATGATAAAAACATGTTTTGATTGTTTTTTTAACACCTTCACTTCGATGAAAAACAAGGTTTATTTTGCTTTAACTGTTTTATTTAATTTGACTTTAAATTGCATTTTAATCTATGGCAGGTTTATTATATCAACTTAATGAAAGTTTAGAAGAGGGTGCTTTAGCCAAACAAACAAAAAGTTTATTTTTGGTACATAACTGAAGGGATTAACTTTTTAATTACACACACCCACATAGTTAAATGTCAAGCCTAGTAATATCTTAGTTATAACATATTTGGATTTTTTATTTTAATCAGTAAAAAGTTTCTTTTTTTTTTTCTTCCTACTTTCTTTTTTTTTCTTCCTACTTTTCTGTTTATCAAGAAAATGAACCTTCTGGTAGACGAGGCTTCCACACAAGCACATCATACACACTGGTTAAAGCAGGGCTGTTGTAGAAACTAGAATATTAAAAATTATTTCTCAGAGGTACCTCCAGTTTCTTCACGCTTCTTTCTTTTTCTAAGCCTGAAAATTAAGACTATGGGAAGAAAAATGTGTAAAAAAAATTTCCCTGCCTGTCTATTTTAAGCGGTTTGTTTCAGGAAACGGAGACTTGGAACTAGTGGGGACATAAATAATGAACTGAGAATGGTAACTAATATGATTTTGTACAGAATAGAATAAAATAAATTTTAAATTAATGTCCTTGTTCAGTGTTTTTTTTTTTTTTTTTTGCTACATTTTCTAACCACTGTGAAATGACTTAACAATGCGATTCACTAAATGCACACTAGTTCTGTTCACACGTAAAGTGCTGAAGAAGATGAAGCTTAGTTGTCCTCGGTCCTGTAGAAGAAGCAAAAAAAAAAAATGTCTAAGTGGCAGACATGGACTTATTTCCAGGACAGATGAAAATGAAATTTGGCCCATGAAACTCACTGGACCATCTCCTTGTACTTCTCCAGAGCTTCCTGTGTGATGTAGTGGATGAAGGCTGGATCCTGCAGATCCAGCTCCCCAGGAAGAGTGAGTATGAGGGGAGGGGAGTTCAGAACCGTCACCTCCACTCTGGTCTCCGTAGCAGACATGTTCGGTTCATCACGACTCCCTGGCGCCACCTAGAGTGTAAAAATCATGTTTTTCAAGTTTAAAGTTCTCATCCCACCTGGTCTGCTTCTGCTTCCCAGTTTCTCACTGTGGTGATGTGGAAGATGTTTTGAGGAGTGCTGCTGTTGCTCACAGCCTGAGCCACCCAGCTGTACTCCGCTGCCTTGTCGCTCAGCCACTTGACAGTTTCATCAGTGTGGCGCTGGACGATGGACAAGATCTCGTTATACTGCTCTTTAGACACATCCAGCAGCTGGGAGATTTCATCCAACTCCAGATGCAGCTCCCGGACGCTGGGGCACTCTAGGAACAAGGAGCAGGATGAGCTCCGGGGTGAGAAAGTTCTGATTTCATCAGAGCACGCTTCACCTGTGAGCAGAGCCCCCTGGCAGGCCTCACACTTATCCTGAAGCTGCCAGCATTCTGACGTCTGCCTGCGAAGATCTCTGCACAACTTCCTGTTCTGCAGGAAGTGAGAAAATGTTGCCTTCTCTGCACCAAGGAAACACAAAATAGCAGTTAGATTAGTGCTTTTTTAGTTTCATTTGTTAACTTTTTAAATGGTCTTCATTTGTATATCGCTTTCTCAGGGTTCTAACCCCCCATCCCCCAAGGCGCTTCACAACACAGTCATTTGCCCATTCACAAACACATTCACACACTGGTGGTGATGAGCTACGGTGTAGCCACAGCTGCCCTGGGGCGCACTGACAGAGGCAAGCCTGCTGAACACCGGCGCCACCGGTTCCTCTGACCACCACCAGCAGGCAAGGCGGGATAATTGTCTTGCCCGAGGACACAACAGCTGCATTCTCTGGTGCTGTAATGTTTCTTGAGGATCTCGCTACCTTTCTGTTTCTTCTCCTTTACTGCCTGATGGAGGTCATCAAACACTTGGGTGACCACAGCTCCAAACTCCTCAACCACTCTCGTCCCAAAGTCAAAGAAAGACTCCAGCACCTCCTCCAGACCCACTCCCTCCAGGAAGCCCGAGTCCCTGGCGGGGTAGAAGGGCTCAGAGGTGGCTTCTTCGATCAGGACATTAGTAATGTTCAGGAAGGCTCTCTGGAGGACTTTATCGAGCTGGTTGCTCATCTTGGAGGCCAAGGAGATGCTGCGGTTCACCAGAAAGCCCACTTTGCTCGTCACCCGGTTAAAGGAATCCTCAATTTGGTCGACATCCGTCTCCGAGTCATCAAGGCTTTCATCCTGGTTTACAAGGATGTCCCCTGGTGCCATTGGAGGCTCTCGGGGCCCAAAGCGCTGGGAGACTCTTTGGAAAAAGTTTTCTACCTACAAGATAGACGGGATGCCAGTTAGTGGAATCTGGTGTTCTTTATTTTTTTTTCACCAGATCTAGAAGAGACACAGAATCTATATAAAACATTTAAAATTGCCAATTTCTTTTAAATCAATGCAAATAAAACAATCAAAAAGCAGATGTAAATGAGCAAAAGTATTTAAAGTTATGGGAAAGTCGTTGAATCATTTGCAGAGGCCTCTGGTAGGAATGAATGCCTTGCAGGCCTTATTCGGGGCAAACAAAGCCCAGGATCACTTGGATCAGCACGGATAAGTGTGCTGCAGCAGAGATAGGCCCAATCCCAATACTCGCACTTGCGCCCTTCATTTGCGCGTTCCCGGCCAGGGGTGCGAGTGTGTAGAGCACATGTGTCAGACACAAGGCCCGCGGAGCATTTTTATGTGGCCCGCGAGATAAATATAAAAAATGTATTAAAACTGGCCCGCTGGCCGATTTTACCGCAAGGACTTCAACTCCCATGATGCTTTGCGGCGTTAGCGCGGAGCCAATGCGTCCCCTCCTTTGTGTTTTTTCCAGCGCCTGCTGCCGGTGTCTGCAGCTCCGCTGTCTCGGACTAACTATAAACACTCCTCTCACTCAGCGCCGAGTTCACTCAGCTGTTTTCTGACGTTGAAGCCCAGAAACGGAGATTCTAGCCGCTCAGTAATGTGTTCACGACTGAAAGAGAAAGTTTTCCAACTAAAGTCCAGACAGAGCTGATATAACTCCAGCGAACAGCGACACGCTCAAACCAGCATTACTCTGTGGTTGCAGTCATTGTTTTTCCTCCCCGACACACAACAACGCGGTCAAGCTGCTCAGACATGTTCATCAGCACAAACCTATGTGAGCGCCTGTTGTCATCTAATGTTGTCGTTATTATGATGAAGATGAACAAAACAGCAGGAGTCTCCTCCTCAGCTCAGATCAGCCCCATGATGCAGGTATCTGGCTGGAACAGGTGAGCATCACAGTAAACCAGTGGAGCAAACTGAGCTTTAAATATGTTGGTTTTATGCTCTTTTTCTGCTCCAAAACATGAAAGTTAACAGGTGAGATGTTGCATTTTCATTTAAGATAAAATGATGTTTTTATTTTGTTGTTGGCCCGTGAGAAAAGATTTAACCTACAGTAAACAGGAAGTGGAAAGGCTGCAGATAGATGAATAGAATAGAAAATCCCTTTATTGTTCCTCAGTGGGGAAAGCTAGACGTCACAGCAGCGATGACACTTATTACAGGAGAAAAAAGAATAAAAAATAAGAAAAATGGATAAACAACAAGAAAACATAAATCCTGAATAGATTTTAAAAATGCTGATTATACCACAAGTAATGAATACCACTGATGCCTTTTATTTAAAACTGACTTGCTTGTGTGTAATGTGGTTATTCCACATTCAGTGTTAATGCAGAAATAAGTTTGTTTCCAAATTTAAAGGTTCAAAATTGCATATATGTTGATAAAGAAAATGTGCAAATTTGCTGTCACTTTTTCAAAAAATATTGAGTTTGACACCCCTGGTGTAGAGTTTCCCGATTCTAAAGTACAGAAGTTGACCACACCCCCGTTGCACCCTTAATCTGCACTTCACCCAAGTCCGCAGTGATGCGGACCTCAGGATAGGGTGTTGCCCACAAGCCATTACTGCAGGAGAAAAGGCTCAAGTTCCTTGTCTGAAAATATGTATTTTCTAATGGAATTAGTTAATTTTAGGATGATTAGTTGATGCTAGAAAACTTTTAGACAAAGGAACAATAAATGTAAATTTATTTCAAACAACTGTTTGGCTGTTTGTTTAAAAATTGTTTTATAAAGGTTTTTGAAAAACTATCACAGCGACCAGCATCCCGGCATGGGTTGCGATCGATGACTCAATGCTCCCTGTCTCAATTCTGCAATTATTTGCACACTTGTGTACTACGCACTCAAAGCCTTACAGCTCACCTTCTCCAAGTGCACTTTGCTGAAGTCCGCAGGGCGAGTATTGAGATTGGGACAGTGACACAACACGGCAGGATTTGGGAGTTTTATTTCCTGATATTTGGAAATCTTCCTTTGGATTGGATAACAGCTGCGTGACTACTGCTGACTTGCAGAATGGATGTGTTGTCTCCACAATAACACAAGCCTGGAGTTTTTCTGTGGTGGTGTAGCTAACGGGTAGCTTCTACTAGCAGAGATGTTATCTGTCGTTTTATGGATGCCAAAACAACAGCCTTCCCCATCATTAGTCAGGATGGGTGAGTCCATGAATATCAAGTGACAGTGTGATGTAGATCTGTCAGATTTCAAATCCTCGAGTGTCACCATCTATTTTATCAGAATCTAGTGCAGGAGGTAGGTGTAGGAGACTATTTTCATATTCAGCCTGAATGAAGAACTTTTAAAAAATCATTAAAAAGTCTTTTTCAGAGTTTCACTCATTTCAAAAACAATAAACTGAAACAAAAGATGCACAGATTTTCAACCTGTACATGCTTAGTTTTTAATGTTCCCTGTGGTTGCTTTGATGTAATCAGCATTCCAAGGGCAACATATTTTAATTTAACTTTTTTTTTCCTGTTAAATACTTTTTTGTTGCCCATTTCCAGACTTTAGTGTGATTTAAATGGAAACTATAAGGATCCTGTGTATTTTATATATATATTTTTTTGGACCAAAAACAACTGACCAACTCTTTTTGCTAGAAGAAAGTTTTGACACCTTGGAGCTGAAGGAAGCAAAGCCCCTGCGGCAGGTGGAGGTGTAGAAGGTTTTGCATGCGTCCTCCAGACAAGGTCTGCATTCCTCCCACTCTGACTGCAGGGAGTCTTTGCACTTCTCCTCTGCCTCCTCCAGCCTCTCGCTCACTTCCTTCGCCAGCTGCGCAGCCCCCTAATGTGAAAAAAGGAGCCTTTAAAATAATTTAATATTTTAATGTCCTCAATTTCTTTCTTCTGTGAGCTAACAATACCCTCTTCTTATCGCTGCTGCGCTCTAAAGATTTCATGAGGTGCTCGTGCTTCTGCTCGTTCCTCCACATCACCTCCCTCATCTGCTTCACCCCATACAGAGCTCTCCTCAGCTCCTCGCTCACCAGCATCTCACCATCTTCTGACAACTCTGAGAACACATGGAGGAGAGCAGTACTGTCACGCACACGTGTTTCAGATCAGAAAACTAATTTCAACATCAAAGGTAAACGGAGCAATTCTAAAAGCAAGTTTTCAAGTGATTTCATTTATTTAGGCATAAAAGCAAAAACCTGCTTCTGTGACTGGCCTCTGTGAAAAACTGTTTTTTTTTCCTTGGCAACAAATATGATAAAGGACAATGAGGGTCTCTCATAACTACATTTTTGTTAGCCTGGCAAGCCAGACTAAATAGGCAAGGCAAGAATTTGGGCTAGCGTTTGTCCCATCGGTCTTTAGAGAATGGTTTCAAAGGTTATAGGAGTTTGAAGGTGATTGAAATGAGTCTTTTTCTTTTACAAACCATTTGATAAATTGGTTACTGTTGGTATGTGCATTTCAAGTAAAACACCTCATATTGCTCCTTTAAAGGTACATCATGTAATATTTTTACTTGTTTACTGTAAAATACTTTTCCTTTATAAATGGTAAATGGCCTGTATTTGATATAGCGCCTTCTAGAGTCCTGAAACCCCCCAAGGCGCTTTACAACATAACCAGTCATTCACCCATTCACACACACATTCACACACTGGTGGGGATGAGCTACAATGTAGCCACAGCTGCCCTGGGACGCACTGACAGAGGCGAGGCGGCCGAGCACTGGCGCCACCGGTCCCTCCGACCACCACCAGCAGGCAATGTGGGTTAAGTGTCTTGCCCAAGGACACAACGACAGCGACAGACTGAGCGGGGCTCGAACCTGCAACCTTCCGATTACGGGGCGAGCACTTAACTCCTGTGCCACCGTCACAGGTGGCAAGCAGGTTTTTGCTTTTATGCCTAAATAAATGAAATCACTTTATCATAAATGTTTCTCACCAATGTAAATTCTAAGGAATTTTACACTATTATTTGCATAAACTGTGGTCGACGCTCCATTGTTATGCGCCATCTTGAAATACGGCAGCTGTTTAGGGACATGCTTGACATAAAGCTCTGAATTTTGTGTTTTTGCTTCAACGTGACTGAAGGAAACAGCAGAGGGCAGCAGTACGCCCTGGAAGCATGGTGTCTGCTGAACCAAGAAGATGAAAACATAAACACTGTTGCTGTAATCGGTTAGTTTGATTAACAAAGAATGGAATCGAAAGACTTTTCAAGCTTGTCAAGACTTCATCACACCCAACTCTCGGCAGTCACGTGATGAGCTCCCCACCCGCCAAGCCTCCAAGCTGTGAAGATACTCCCTCACTCACCTCATGTCGCTCATTCATCATTTCTTTGTTCTAGAGCTCCTATTCTGGTCCCAGTGTACCAGTTCCAAAGTCCTTCTTCAAGACTGCTCCTAAAGTTCCTTCTCCTCAAGTAGCTTCTCCTCTCATTGCCTCCTGTTTCACCCCCAACACATTACAGCCTTCCTCTGTTAGCCAGTGGCTAACTGGCAGCTGGCGTCTGCTCCATCTCACTGCAGCTCCAGAGATCCACGCCACACTGGACTCTAATCTCTTTCTGGCTCGTGTCAGTCCTCTGTGTGGCTCGCCGACAGCTCCTCAAGCGGCCTGACAGAACTTGCCCTCGAGAGGTTTTGGTTCCGTTTCGGTTTCTCCTTCCTTCCATGGAGGCCATTTTTCAGTCATGACCTTTAATGCAGAGATTAGGTGTTCTGGGTTTAATGATCTCCAGTTGCTTTTATTTGAGAGGTGGATGTGTTGGCTTTTGGGATCTTTTAGCCTGCTTTATGTAGATTGTACTGAAGTAACTTCTAAATTCTTCTGGTCTGGTGGTGATCAGGTCTGAGTCTGGCTGTGAAAATTCAACTCAGATTACCAGATAATGTGATTATTTACAGGTAATTCATGATTTAACAAGGGGCAACTACACATAGGGCCAAAGCTGGTTAGGGTAGCTTTTTCCCTTTAAAGAAATATTTGCGAGAATCAAAACACAATAGGGGAGGGGGAGTACAATCAGATCTTTTCAAATAAAAACACATCTATAAGAGCAAGTCACCCCCAAATCAACTTTTTTTTCTGATAAACTATAAAATGCGTGTCTAATTGTGCTGTAGACATGTGTAGTCAATCTTTTCGCACTTTAGTGCGTTTTAGTTAAAATTTGAATTTTCTGCCTAAAACTGTCAGTGTTGTGCCGTTGTCAGGAAAAAATACTGCACTGCATTTGAATTTAAATCTGCCATCGCCATCGGCTGAGAGGTAACCTAGAACGTTAGCTGGTACCATATGATGTCACAATGTGTGTGTGTGTGTGTGTGTGTGTGTGTGTGTGTGTGTGTGTGTGTGTGTGTGTGTGTGTGTGTGTGTGTGTTAGGGGCTCAGGGGCTCTGCCCTTTCGGTCTGCTAGGCAAAGGCATTTGTTGCATTTTTCAAACAGGAAGTGGATGTTCAGTAAGAATCTGGTAGGGGGTGACTTGCTCTTTAAGGAAATGTTAATAAAGCTTCTGCTCTGCTGACGTACGTTTTAAGGTGTCCTCTGAGATAACTTCCACCTGGTCTGCAGCAGCAGAGCTGAGGATGCTTGTCCTTGCCACCATCAGCACCAAACTGAGCAGCAGCTTCATTCTCAGATTTCCACACTGGAAGAACAAGCAAGGAGTTAAACACATTTATATTTACTCACTGGCTGCAAACTCCAGATCACATGTTTACTGCATCAAACACGCAGATAACTGCTGCCCGGTTTATTCCTGTTTAGTAAGATTTCAGCTGGAGAGTTGTTTAATTGTATTTAATGTAATTCAATGTCAAAATATGTGCAATAAGGAGTTTGGCCACGAGGTGGTGCTACACAACTTGAAGCGCCATGATTCACCCAGAAATGAGGTGTTTTTAAAGATCCATCCAAACTTGTTTAATTTTATGTTAAATTAAAACAAATAAAGACACAAAACTGCTTTAATCCACACTTGTGTTTACTTTCCAAAGTTCAGGCCCTAAATGGTGACCCACATCCCAGTAAAACACATTACATCTTGAGTTACTTCTCTTTTTCTATTTAATTAATTCAGCTGATTTTAGTTTTAGATTAGAGGCACAAAACAAAGTTCAACAGTCTGAATAAAACAGACCACGGGACTCGTCTCAGCTGGGAAGCCATGTTTAGGCTGGTCTCCTGTTTGTTTCACCAGCTGATCTCACTCTTCTGCTGACACATGTGAGGAATTATACAAGCTGGTGTCCAGGATTTACACTAAATTGGGATGTACCCACTGGACTAAAGCTGTTCTATTAAATCCAGCTGGAGACATGCACTGTCTTTGTTCTCTAAGGCTCATTAACAAACAAAAAATGATCATAAATAGGATGAAACTGTGTAACAAGTGTCAAACTGATTAATTAGGTTTCAGGAACTGGAAAATATCTCTTAAAGAAGCAGTTGAAGAAGTTTAAACCAAACTTTTAAAAAACATTTACATTTTTCTGTAAAAAAAATCCCATTTAAATGAGATTTGTGCCCATGATTACAGGATGAACCAGTTCTACTCACCAGCAGGAGAAGCAAGCTGCCTGTTTACCGACAGAAATGAACAAAGAGCTGGTGATCTTGACCTGGTTGGATCTATTTATGCCCGTCCTTTGTGAACTTCATCCTATTACTGTCTTTGCTTCAGGCTGATGCCCATTAATCCAGTGCTGGGCACGCTGACAGGTGTGCTTTGTCAGAGACGTTCTGATCAAATAGAACAATAAATAAAACAATATTCCTTCAGCAGATGTGAATCCAGCATGTGTTTAATAATAAGTGAGGTTTCTCTCTGTTCCTATCTCTTTATTGTTGCCCCCTCTGCTTTTAGTGACCCTGAAAATAGTCTTTACTGGATAATAATGGAAACCAGACCGACTTCCAGCCTGTAACACCTCCAGCACCTGGATCATATCATGCTGCAGTGAGAAACGCTCCATGTTCACCAGCTAAACATGAAACAGTAAGACTACAAATGCAAAGTTACTGAGAACATGCACTAAATCAAATCCAATCAGGAAATTCACTCAAGTAGCTTTGGAGAAACGTATTCTAAATAAATATCTTACAGCCAACAACAAGGCATCTGAGTGGCTGGAAGCACCAACAGGGAAAATGTGGTTTTGCTTCCAGCAGGGTCCCCCAGAGGTCAAATGACACATTTTTCTCTTTAAACGCATCGACTGTGTCATGGTCTGTGTAGGTCTTATGTTTTTTTTATTTATTTTATATATATATATTTGGGAAGGGGGTGGAAGTTGTGATTTATTGGATTTGTTTTGGGTTGTCTTTGCTTTGCCGTCCTCTGCATGTGTGGCTTTTCAGTTGCAGTTAGAAAACATTGTCCTGATGTTAAATGATCCTTTCATTGTCGTTAGAATCTGCAGATGGGATATTCTGCATTGCAGCACGTTTTATTTCCTTTTGCCTCTGGGTTCAACTGCATTTGGGTCCTGCAGCATCGCATGTCAGCACTCTTAGATAAGACTTCAACAGTGGTCTGAAAATTTCACCTTCAAATGCTTTTTTTTTACATATTGGTTTACTTCCTCCTACATCCTTCAAACATGTATGAAAAAAATAACCAATTGTTTGATATTTCTAGTTAGTTTCATGTTGTTCTGCTGTATTGCTTTTATCTGCGACAATGACAATCTACTGAGTTTTGGTTTGATTAAAACAGCAGAAGAACAAACTCCTCAAAATGATCTATTTATGTATTTATTCATTATTGGCCTAAACGTTTTAAAGACAGTGTTCCAAAGGGTTGAACAGTGATGTCTAAATTTAACTTCTTGGTACTTTTTTTTCAGCTAAACGCTGTTTTAAGGTATACCTTCGTGTCATGAGTCGACTGAGATCTTGAAAAGGAGAGTAAAAAAAAAAGTCTGATGTTGGTAAACATCTCCTGTTACATCATCCCTGCTACTGCCACCTAGCGGCCAAAACAAAACCTTTGCGCAGGTGGACCTTCTCCAGCTTTGAACCGACTTTAAATGACAAACACTTTTTAGTGTCTTGTTTATGTATTTTACAGGTGAGTCTAAACACCGAAACTATAGTGAAAAGGGTTTTTTTTTTCAAAAGCAGTAAAGCTTTGAGCCCGCTCTTTGATGTTTCCACAGCTTAACAAACCAAACTTGCACGAGGTTAAACGGTGTTATCCAACACACTTAACCCTTCTGTTTAGAGTAATTGCGCTCAGCAGTAAAGATAAAAAAAGCCGAAGCATTGAGGAACATCTGGGCGCAGACGATGCGCCCAGATGTGAGGAACACGTGCTTTGCTCCAGCAGCCCTACAGGCGCACCACACATTTGGATTCCTTCCCTTTTCCAGCCTCCCCATGTTGCTGCTGCGGGTACCACTCCAGACCCGAGCTGGGTAAGGACACACGCATCCTCTCAGCATCTCTAACAAACAGTTCAAATCCAGCTTGCATCCTTCTTTTATTTTTAATAATTCTTATTTTGCGCCACATACCTGCGCCTAAGGAGGAGGAGGAGGGGGTTTCGTGAAAAAAATACTTCAGATGGAACTTTGATTTTGTTTTAATTTCGCATTCTGTTAAAGTTTCAAGTCTCCCCAACAAACCAGGAAGGATACCTGCAGATTCAAGGTGCTCAAGAGGAGTTTTCATGCAAACACCAGTGCGATGCTGTGGATGTGACTTCAGGCTGCAGCCATGAAAGGTAGGTTTAATCAGAATGATCGGATGATCAATGAAAACGTTTTGATGCTGACTGACGTCAAGTGTCACTGTTGATGGTTTTCCCGCTCCTGTTACAGTCCTCTGACTCGTTATTTGTCGCTTCTCTGCTCTCTTTTCTCGGTGTGGGACGTGAGGAATGCGTGGGCTCCTGCTGCACATCTGGTTTCAATCACGCTCTGTTTGGGATTGTTTTACATCTGTTCACTGATGAGCATCAGACAGTTAAAAAGCTCTGCCAACACACAGAAAACGCATCCACACTCGACCTTTTCAAGTGTTTTGATTGTATTGTTAAATGAAGACGTTGCGAACTCCTTAAAAGTTCGAGTCAGACTTAATGAACAGCTTTATTGTGGTGTAACTCTAAATGTAATGAGCTGCTTTCCAACAAGCTGAAGAAAGCTGCAGAGAGCTCATGAATATAAACAAAGGTTTTAAATAAAATAAAAACCTCATCTGGTTCCATGACAGACTTTTCTAAAATAAGACTGAAGTGTCATCTCATCCTCAAGAATCAGACCTGCCGTGACTACTGCCACCCAGTGGTCAGACTCAGAAAACTCACCAGAACTTTTAACACTACTGCTGGCATACAGAATCCCCTCTAGAATAAAGTATTTATAGTACTTTTGTGATTTAAATACCATAGTGATCTTCATTCCATGGATTGCATTTATCCTGAACACATTAGTTTGCAAGAAAAAAACAAAAAAGTATAAAATCTAAAACAACTGTTTCCCACCACTGATTCATGTTTTGTTGTTTTGATTTTCTTCTGACCATCTGGGTGCTTCAGCAAAGATTTCCTAGTCACTAACTGTTGTTTTTCTGCCAGGGCGGAAACACTTGATGTTTGTTGTTGGAAACAACCGGGAAAAAAAATCCAACTCTTACTTAATGTTTTCTGATAAACTTGAAAAATAAAATTGTAAAAGCTACATTGTCTGGCTTGCTGCACAGTCTCTGATGCAGCAAGTCAGTGACTCGATGCAATCTGGGTTCTTAATATAGGAAACCTTTTACTGATGAACAGAACTCTACTGGAAGGTTTACTTTGTATTTACTTTACTTGCCGTATAAATAAACTGAATTTAAATAGAATTTTTTAATAAGAAAAACACAAGTTAAAGAATGATCCTTTAAAGTTGAGACAACAGCTTAACATTTGGCCTGCATGCAGGTTGATACAGGAGATGTTGCTACTGCTAGTGCAGGATGTTGTCATGGTAACTAACAGAATCTGTGAGGTCTTGTCATTTCACATGAGATTGCTAAATAAGACATTTTCTAGATTTGATCAAAACATCTCTAAATTAATAATTTCTCAACATGAGAAGATTATCAGAGTTTAAAACTAGGGAATGGTACCAGCTTCTCGTTAGCATAACAGTGAGTTTCCCTGCTTGCGCAGGAGACCGGGGTTCAATTCCCTGACAGGGAGTAGCACTTGACCTTCTCAGTGGCCTAGCAGTAGAGTGTCCGCCCTGGGAGTGAAAGATCAGGGTTCAAATCCCAGTCGGGTCATAACAAAGACCCTAACAATGGGACCCAATGCCTCCCTGCTTGACAATCAGCCTTAAGGGGATGGATTGGGGGGGTGGTTAAACCACTAATGGGCCATTCCCATCTGTACCGGGTCGGCCCGGGCTGGGTAGCCCCAGTCGGCCCCAGCCTGGCCCGGTTGATTCCACACATCCTTGCCTTAAGCCCATGTGGGCTGATTCTACCCACCTACTGTTCTAAAGGCAGATGGAGTTTTTTTAACCAAACCAAAAGAAATAGCTGATTATTTAAAACTGTTTTTTATCAATAAAAGTAAAACATTGAATAATACCAGGGAGGAGAGAAAAGAAGAAAATACATCTTATCAAAGAATTAAGGATGATATCATGCAAATGAAAGATTGTGAGTTTAAGTTTATGGAGGTATCAGAGGATTACATTAAAAATTCATCTTAAATAGTAAAGATAAACCCCCTGGAATGGATGATATTGATATAAGATTGCTAAAATTGGTGGCAGATTTTATTTTACTGCCAGTTTCACATATTATTAACATAAGTTTTAATCAAAGTATTTTTCCAGCCCAATGGAAAAAGGCTAAAGTAATTCCATTAATCAAAAATAACCGAGAACCACTGTCTGGTAAAAATAGTCGGCCAATAAGTTTGTTATCAGCATTAAGCAAAATTTTGGAAAGAGTAGCATATGAACAAATACAAGAAAATTTTATAACAAATAGATTAAACACAATTTTTCAACATGCATATAAGGTGGGTCACTCCACTACTACTGCACTTGCTCAGATTACTGATCATTGGTTAGAAGAAATAGATGATAAAAAGTTAGTTGGTACTATATTTTTAGATTTGAGTGCAGCTTTTGATGTGATTGATCATAAAATCTTATTAAAAAATTAGAATGTTATAAATTTCAGTCGTCTGCCATTAAGTGGACAGAAAGTTATTTAACGAATCGCAAATTCAACTTCTATTTCAATGGCAGTTATTCTGAAACGGGTCAGTTAGATTGTGGAGTGTCACAGGGCAGTTGTTTGGGCCCTCTTTTGTTTTCTATTTTTATTAATGACTTACCTTTGATTTTAAAACATGCAACCATGGCTATATATGCAGATGACACTACATTATTTGCATCAGCACAAGCAGAAGGCCAATTAAATGATATTTTAAAAAAGGAGTTGGATTTAGTTACACAATGGTTTAGAATGAACAAACTAGAAATCAATGCAGGAAAAACTAAATGCATGATAGTGGGAAATACATATACACTACAGATGACACCTAGACTGCATTTGAAGCTAGGTAACATAGCGATAGAGCAGGTAGAAGAAGCAAGACTGTTGGGGGTAATTGTGGATTCTAGATTGTCATGGACTAGTCACATAAATCATGTCCTGCTGAAACTTGGAAGAAGTATGGGCACAATCAAATATTGTTGTAAATTTATTCCTCGTTTGCAGATAAAAACTTTAGTTCAAACATTAGTACTGTCTCATTTAGATTATGCATCAGTTATTTGGTCTAATACAAGTGAAATGAATTTAAATAAGTTACAAGTGGCACAAAATAAAGCTGCACGAATTGTTCTGGGTTGTAATTATAGAACAAATGTTAGTATGATGCACGATAGGTTGGCCTGGTTAACAGTGAAATGTAGATTAAAGTATTCACTGATCACATTTATAAGAAATATAATAACTACAAAAATACCTAAAATAATTTATGACAAATTATCATTTTTTTCAGACAATCATGATTACACGACGAGACAGACAAGTGACATAAGGTGCGCACTACCGCGCTGCAGAACTAATCAAAGGCAAAGAGCAGTTTATTACAGAGCCATGGTTGCATGGAGATTTTTGTTATTAGAGAACAACAGAAGATGTTTTCAAAAGAAGTTAAAGCTTTTTTTGTTTACACAACAGTAAATTTTGCACAGTGAATTGTAAATGTGACTGATATGACAGCTTCTATAATTTTTGTTTGTTATGGATGTGATGTGATATGATTTTTGATTCTTGAATATAGTTATTTATTGCTCTGTGTAAACTCTCCATTTTCACCTATTTAAATTTTTCATGAACTCTGAAGTGTGTGGTAACTTATTGGTATATCATTATAGCAATTGAGGTGGTATGCTTATAATGAGCTCCTGGAGTTTGTTGTTGTTGGGTGTGTGTGTGTGTGTGTGTGTGTGTGTGTGGGGGGGGGGGGGGGGGGGGGGGGGGATGGGGATGGGGGTGTTTTGTAAAATATTTGTAATGAAATTGAAAGAGACCTCAGGAAGAATAGCTCCACACTATGGTGTGAGCTAATGAGGTTCTCAATAAATAAATAAAAATAAAATAAATCAGAGGCTTGCTCTAATGGAAGGTGTGAATTTGCTGTCAGCAGTGGGTGTGTTGGCCCTGGTCGGCCTGAAGCAGACCCCCTCGAGAAGAGGGCTGAGAATGAGCCTTGGATGGCCCGGAAAAATACCAGGCCACCCAGATATGTAAACAACCTGCGCTACCCGGCCCGGGCCGACCCGGTACAGAAGGGAATGGCCCATAAATAGTTCCCGAGCGCAGCCACAGCTGCAGCTCGCCGTTCCCCATGGAGATGGGTCAACTACAGAGATGAATGTGTGATGATGACAATGGAATTTTAACTTTGCAATCCCTTCCATTAAGGGAGGCTAGCCCTTTATTTATCTGTTTTGTTTTCACATCCAGGGTCTAGGCCAGGTCAAAGGTCATTGGGATTGTGATTAGTTTCAAACCTATAACCTGAACTACACTTAGAATTTATTTTTGTTGTGAGTCAAAATGAAGATCACAGTTGATAAATGAGTGAATTTTGACTCAGTTTTGCTTTGAAACAAACATTATTCTCAGAACTTTGACATAAGGGTTTATTTTTTAGGATCCTTCTACTCTAATTCTACTCTAAGCTTTGATCTGAATCCATTATTTGGTTTAGCCAAGTGTAGATTTTAATGATTAATGTGTTTAGAGAAGTTTCAACTCCACAAGAAGTCCTTGTTCCATATTTTATTGAAGATGTCGGGTTCATGACTAATTTTCTGTTTCTTCCCCAGACGAATTTGCTGATGAAGAGGAGGTTCAGTCCTTCGGTTACAAAAGGTTTGGTGAGTATCTAGTGGCCTTTAAAGTTCCAGTCCCCGCCTCTTTTACTGGTCCTTATTTCTCATGAGTTATCAGTTATGCTGTTCCAGTTCATTGTGTGTAAATGCTAGTATTTGGGTTGGGTCGGCGCCCATCTACGGTCACGCTTAAGGTCAAAAGGAGGCCGTACCTCATTTCCCAGCACCAGTCTTATTTTTGGCCGCTGCCTTCATTGTTATTCCTCCTCCTTACAACAGCATTTTGTACAGTAACACAAACCACAGAGTCCTGGGTGTTCCTGAGCCTGCATCTGCAGAGCTTTGGTTCTGCTCAGCATGAAACCAGCAAACAAATAAAAAGAAACATTTGTAAACATCATAAAGGCCACTAACTTATTCATTATTACTGCTGCTGTTATGATTTCAGAGTTATGAAAAGTTGCAGCTCTAGTGATCAGCGTCAGTGATGATGGTCATACGGTGAAGATTGAGTTACACCCATTGGGGTCATGTGGTTTAAGAGGCATTTTCCTGTGTGTGTGTGTGTGTGTGTGTGTGTGTGTGTGTGTGTGTGTGTGTGTGTGTGTGTGTGCGTGCGTGCGTGCGTGCGTGCGTGCGTGCGTGCGTGCGTGCGTGTGTGTGTGTGTGTGTGTGTGTGTGTGTGTGTGCTGATGCAGTTGTTTCTTCAAGGGGACCGTTTGGATTTTCTTGCACCCAAACCAAACATTTTTCTTGTTTATGTCACTCAGCTGAGATTTATCCTACTGATTTTTTATTTCGAGCATCTGTAATTTGTGCTCGGCAGCTTGACTTCTGGTAACCACACAGCTGTGAAGAATTAGCTAAACAGTTAAAGAAACTCTTCATAAAAAACATCTGTTAAGTGTCTGATGACCAAGGCTTTAAGTTTAGACCTTTCATTTCTCACACACACATTCAAATGGTGCCATGTTATGATTTTCTACTCAATTTCACCAAAACTCAGTCGAACAAGCTGAGGAAATTTAAAACTACAGAAAGATGAACAAAAACACAAATAAGTGAACAATGACAGAAACATAAATACTCCTAAAAACACAAAATAATGTTTGTTTTAGTCTAAAAAAGCTTTTAAAACATAACAAAAGTTTCCTACAGTTCTTTCTACAGGTCTTTAATAAAGGAGATACCTTTTAAAGCTTTTTTTAATGAGCTGTTGGAAGTTACACCTAGAGAGGGATCAGATTTTCCAAAACAAATAACATCTGTACCATAATCACTATTTTATCCAGCTTAGACCGGAATATCATCAGCATAGCAATCAAAAAGACTGTTACATCCCTTGGGAAAACAACAAAAACAACTGGTTAAAATGATACTTTGCCACTTTTTATGTTCTTCAATCATTTTCTTGAGCCAGTATGTGCTAAAATGGCCCTTTACAGGGTTAATAAAAGGCCACCCAGCCGCTATCGCCCCCTGTGGCCAGACTATTCCACTTGCAACTTCTAATTGATGGACTGCGCTGTTGGGACTTAGAAAAAAAAATGAGCTGCTGTCTGCTTCCAGCACCTTTCCTGCATGTTTTAGCAGGAAAGGTGCTGCTGATTTGTTTGAGTGATGAATCACCTCTCTAGACACTAAGCACGACTGGGTAGACATTTCAGCTGTTAGACTAAGGCATCAAAAAGACAAACACACAGCAAGGAGATAGGTTTTGCTTCTGGTTCTACAAATGAACACTAGGGGTGCTAAAAGCAACAAAGTGCCAAAACTGCCCAATTCAACTTTAAATAGAAAAGACCCAAAAGCGGATCCCTGAGGAACACCTGAAGTGAGTGCAGCAGCTGCTGAGAAGCTCTACTGACATGAGTACCAGTAACTGTTTTACAAATTGTTAGATTACAACGCTAAAATAATGTTAAATGTTTTTTCAACATTTAACAACAGTTAAGTATCAACATTTGTTTCTTCTTAACTTCTCTTGAAAAAGTTAGGATTTTTAAAAAGGTTTCGTTTTACCCTCATGCTGTGAAGTTGTCACACCCTGTGCTGTCTCCCCGTTTGGTTCAGCCATGTCTCTGTTAATTGCTCCCACCTGCCTCTCGTTTTCCAATCACCCAAGCTCCCAGTCCTCTTGTATTTAAACCCCTTCAGTTCTGTGGCTCGTGTTGGATCATTGTTTCAGTGTCAGCGTGTTTATTATTAAAGCCTTTAACAGTGCATGTCTAATTGCCTACCTTCTTCAGCCGCGTGTGGGTCCTCACCTCCGCTTCACACTCCAGCACGCCTGACAGAAGTCAAAAGAAATTCATCCAAACCCAAAAAATACAGAAATACATCAAGTCTGAGAAAATCATCAAACTTTAGTTTCCTGTGTTGCTGTTTATGTCCTGATTAAACAAGCTTTAGTTGTTTTCACTCTAAGCTGACCCCACATACCAGTTCCAGCTAATAGTGGCATGATCGTCTTATTTGTCTTACAAATGCATTTTCCAGAAACACCATACTAATTGGTCTCCGTGACATTATTGCTTTTTGTCATTCATGTGTCTTCAATGAGCAAAGGAATGAAGTTCGTGACTCATTTGGCATCTGCTTTCCAAAAGACGTTTATTTTCGCTCTGTGAGTTCAAACCTGAGAAGCTGCTGATCTGCTTCCTGTGTCCGTACTGAAGGTTTATTCTACGCAAAACTATACAGTCAGAAAGAGGGGGTAGTGAAGTCTGGAGGATTTGGGGTCCAGGTCTGTGCTGTGTCAGCAAAGTGCTGAAGCCGCAGAGGGAAGCGGGGTGGGGGTGGGGGGGTGGGGGTGTTCCAAAACTCTACTTCTAGTTTTAAACAAAATAAATCAGCTTCTTGGTACTCTTTGACCTAAAGTAATCCTCTTTCACTTTATGTGTGATCCAGCAGGGAGACATTTGTCAACTTTATTTTTTAGGGGGGGTAGGGTGGGGGAGTCGCATTCCTTACTTGACTTATTTTTGGAAGCAAAACAGCAAGTGGTTTTAATTTACGGGGACTTTATTACGAGAGAAGAATGTTTTCAGAATTCCTGCCTGTTACTTATGACCCCCTCCAGGGCACTCATGCAGTTTGTGCTCCGTTGTCCTAATGAAAGATTACTCGCTCATGTTTTCAATAAAGAGGAGAGGAGGTTAGGAGGAGATAGAGGGATGACTTTAAAGGATTGCAGAGCAATGGAAAAACAGTTTACAACATGGAATGAAAAGGAGACAATGGAAAATAAAACCACAGAGTTAAATGACTTTGTTATACTATCATAGAAAACACACTGTAAGGTGTTTTGGCAGACATCCTTTAGTCAAGGTCAGACATACAGACTCCTGGACTCGAGTTCAAATATTAGAATTGGCTATTAAGGTATGGTTGAAAAAACATTTTCTGATGATTTTTTCCAATTATAACGAGCCACTCTGAGTTTTTCATGCAGGCTGAACATGAAAATAGTCTCCTACACCTATCTACTGCAATAGCTTCTGATAGACAATAGATGGTGAGACATTAGGATTAGAAAATCTTCACATATCTATGTCACACTGTGAAATTGCATTCATGGCCTCACCCATCTTGGCTTGTGTTCCCCCACAGGAAGGCTTTTTTTTTGCAGCAAATAAAGAGCAGAGAGTGTCTTGATGATAGTGACTTTGTAACATAGCTGAACGTGTTCTGTTAGCCAATCAGAAGCAAGTGTGTGGATATCATTATGCTACTTGCAGTCCACATCTGCACCAGCAAACATCTGCATCTCAGTACAGGAGCATCATAGCTGTTTTTTTTAAATCACTCATAAGGCACTGATTTACACAAGAGAACACTGCAGATGTACTGAATAAATGAGTAAACTGCACCTTTAAGTAAAAAAAATCTGAATCTCAAGTCATTAGAAAAGGTGTATTTTTTGACTGAATTTTTTATTCAGTGTACATAACTCCTTGTAAAGCTAAGAGTATTTTATCAATAGGTTTTACCAGTGAGATGCTGTGTGATCTGGATGTCGGAATAGCTCAGAAGTTAAGAATTTTTGTTCAGAATGTTCTGATTCCAGGAAACATCTAAATATTATCTGGGTGTACTAGCTCAGTCTCTAAGGCGTTGACTTGGTGTGCAGAAGGTGCATCCTTCCTTGAGAGACAAATAAGGGGTGTTATGCTGATTGGGAGGGTTTTTCCGCTTGGTCCTAGTACCTGATCTATGGAGGCGTTTTCTTTAAAAGATCTCAGACATAATTCCTGACAAGTGTGAACTTTCCACAGCTTCTGTCTGAGAGCGGTTGTATATACAGTAGCTGCAGTTGTTTTGACTGAAATCAGCCCTAACCACCTCATCAAGCATCTTCACACCACTCCCATGGGATAACGTGGCCAATTTTACTGACACGCCTGTAACCAACTGTCATCTGACTGGGTATCTTTTCTCACATAAATGTTTTTAGAGTGCTACTTTGGCAGCCATTTTTGGCTCAGTTACAAAAAGCAAAGCAAATGGAAGTGTCTAGGTTATTTTTGGGTGAATGGTCCCTGGCAGGCTAAGACGTTCTGCATGCTTCTCAGCACTGGCGTTTATTTTAGTGGAAGCTTTTTGGCTCTAGAGAAAGCCAAAAGAAAGTTTGTTACTTTTAATTTAAAAAACTGTTGAAAATATTAATGAAAAAGTGTTTTTTTAATCTTTGTTTATCTGTGAGTCACAGTGCTGCTCACTATCCAGCTCTCAGACCCGACGAGTGCTTTTGTAGCACTGGTTCAGCTTGCATTGGCCTTCAACCAACACACTGTGCCGTTTTTTGTGTGTGTGTGTGTGTGTGTGTGTGTGTGTGTGCTTTGGTACTCATATTCTTTAGATGCTGCAAAACGTCAATCATTAAAAGATTTGTTTCTTTGCCATTTACCCAATTTCAAGTCAGACGTGTTTGTGTTGGAACATCTGTGCAGCTGCTGCAGGGAGAGACTTCAAAGCCACTGAGTCTGACGGGGCATACCAACAGCAGCTTTTTTATTTCAGTTCAGTTTTTCACGGTAAAAGTT